TCATTAAAAAACAATACAAATGTAAAAGATATTGAGTGCTAATTAAGTTAAATTATCCAAATGTTTTCTTCGAAATGATTAATTATGTTAAGTTAAAAATAAGTGCTATGAGAACATAATTGAATAATAATTTTGTACGCAAATTAGTAATTACCTACCTACCGAATGATCCCTTTTATTACATTAAGTAACTATGATTCGTATTATATATCAATTAATAAAAGCTATATAATTATTAATATTTTTTTTAACTCTGCTCAGCAACTTTACGTAAAAACAATTCCTCTAAATTAGTTTGAATTATAATTATTATAATAATAAGACTCAATCAAAAAGTGATATATACCGTAAGAAAACTAGTCATTGTCCAATCTCGGAGTTAATGACATTTAACTTGGGAATGGAAATGGAAGTATAAATTATCAATTGTAGATAAATTATCATTCGTAAAATCATAAATATTGATTGTAATGAATTAGAATTTAGTCGAACTTTTTTTACATGTTTTTTTTATGACCACTCTCATATATAATTATTTATACAATTAGGTATGGCATTGGTTTTTATTTTTGAACCGCCTCATGAGGGAGGACAGCCCGTATTTTTTTAAGTATTTAGCAACAATATAAAATAAAGTATGATATACAATTGAATATTGATGAGTGACACGTGATAGACAATAACACATTAAAACTGAAGAAAAAACATTAAAATGTATAGTTGCTTTCGCATTACAAAATATTTTAGTTAGATTATTTACTTATAGATTATTACATACAATAATAATAAATTTATGGCAATTCTAAAAATGATTAATCACTTGACCGTTTTAAACGTATTTGATTTCTTGAAAGTGGATATTTATTTCAGTGTTTCAAGTACTAAAACTATTTTGACATACTATTTTGTGAGTTAAGATAAACCACTTTGTACCGTAATATATTTAAGTAAAAACTAGGTAATATAATTAGTTCTGGTAATTTTAATTCGGTAATTAAAATTATCTTAATAAAAAATACATTTGAGATTTGAATATTAATTATAATTGCATTTGAATTGCATGAATGGCGATGCTCGTCGCACGTTATAGCATGTCTTATATTAATATTGTATTAATAGAATCATGCCTGCGGTAGGCTATTTTAGCAAGGTATGATAAACGTTACCTAAATTATTGCCCTATATTTTACAGCATATATCATTACATTCATGATATAAACATATGGCCAATAAGCTAATAAGAAAAATTTCAATTGAATTTGAAATTGTATTATTATTAGATTATGCTAAAATGATATACAAAAGAGACTGAAAATATTAGGATAAAGTTTGTCTAAAAAGTATACACAAATGTAGCAACATACCAACAGATAAATTTAAAACTACTAATTACATACAGTAACATTTTAACAATGACATCCTCATATCAATATTATGTCAATATGATATTAATATAAACAAAAATATACAAATAGGTGCACTGAAAAATTAAATCCTTTTAATTTAGAACTTTCGTTAGTCGCGTGAGGTAAATAATAAAACTCGTACTATTACGAATTAGTATTAGTAACTTATTAGTTGCTAGTTAAGTTATAACCTGCACACTTATTGGTTATTATACTTACTAGTTACTAACATCGTTACGCAAATTTCAATGACGTAAATGACGTCGGCATCATAATTATTATTGGTTTTATTTCTGATATCTAATCACACAATTTTTGTTCACATATTATACACAGCGCAGTCACACTTTAAATATTTTATTGCGAAAATAAATAAAAATATTACATACATTTATTTTATTATTCAAACTAATAAAATTGTACATCGCGATAGGTGAAATCACAGAAGATAAATATAATAATATATTTCCAGTTAAGCAAACTATGAAAATATTATTATTATTATGTATATTTGACCTGAAGCCCATGTATAAATAAAATTAGCTAAGCTTAATTTAGTTGACACCAAACTGTAGAATGCGTTTTAATTACCTATCTAGGGAATAGAACTCGGGTTTTTGTAGAGAACTCATACCAACATAATTATAACATAATATAACCTTCACATAGAAACAATATTTCTGACTCTTATTTTATTAATAAAGGTAAATATACTTATCTACAAACTGCAAAATATAAATTGTTTTCAGGTAAGAGAACCTACCAATATATTTTTATTAGCTTTTAACTAGGATAACATTTTTATGTTAATGAATTTAGAACGAAGCTACGAAAAATGAATTTTTTAAAGGAAATTCAAGTATGATAAAAGTAAAATTCAGGAAAATATAGGTACACAAATTTAAACTCAACATTGCATTTTATGGGAATAATAATAATTATTATTATAACAAGGTAGGTATTATAATAATTTAACAATATAACCAAATTGAAAACTGAGTTTTGGAACACAATAAACATAAAAGTACTAAAAATTCATTTAAAAAATTCATTCAGTCAATTTTAATCAATGATAATTCAAAAACCTAGAAATATTATTCAACTTATGTCATACATTATTTAAACTGTTATCATTTCTTTGAAATCAATAAATAGCATATTACTATAGGTACATGATATTACTTATACCTAAATATTAGAATTATTTATCAAAAATATAATTTTTACTAGGTATTATTACCAATCTATTAAAGAACTATTTCCATTGATTAAAATATTGTATGGACATAAGTAATTAAAATGCAATAGTTTAAGAAATTTTAATAGGTAACACATGAAACAAGCCATTAAGAAAAAACAGATATTGGCTAATTGTCGTTTACAATTTTACATAGAGAATATAGATTTAGGTTATTACAAATAATTTGTTTAAATTGTCAGAAGTTTTATTCAAACCAATTACTTGTTAGTATTTAATGTATTACATGTTATACTAACAAAATCGTACAATTTGAATATTAAAGAATTACATATCCTGTCAATCAAACTATAAATAATATTGTGATATAAAACTTAATTAAATTCAAAAAATAGGTAAATGAAATTCCTATTCCTATGTCTTATTCTTGTTATTGCCTAAGATTAAAGATGAAAGATCAAACTCCGGATCAAACTGATTAGCTGAGATCAATAATAACACTGGCATATACCACTAATAGGTACAGTGATACCTACAAATAATTTATTAGAACTAAAAGAATGCACTTCGGCCCTTAATTTGGCAGCATATATGATATAATTGCATATAGATTAAATAGTAATTACCTAATTATTTTATCAAAAAGAATAGTTGATGACGTCAAACTCTTTTTTTAATTAAGTATTTCCACTCTTTTAATTTGTTTTTCACAATTATATTCTCTTATTCAGGTACTAAACAATTAAATAAGATATGAAAAATCCACGTAATCTATCACAAAATTTAAAGTTTTTTAACACGTGGCATAAACATTGAATTGAAAATTGTATGTAAAATTATAAATAAATAATTTTTATACTGTTAAGTAAATACTGAGGTAAATACCTTTTTTAAAATATGTTATGAGTTTCTTTATATATTTATAATATGTATTAGACATTGAATGTTATAAATTTAAAAAATTGATGAGAATTTATTGTAGACTAACTAGGTACCTACCTATTAAATTGTAAAACTGTTTTGAAGGTGAATTATTAACCAGTATTCCAAGGATATGAGTGTAAAAGAAATATTTTAAGTACTCAATTCAAGTTTGAATATAAACAATTTCCTGTGAGATAATATAAACGTAAAAGTAGATATAAGGATCAATAAGAAGTTAGTTTATCATTCATATTGAAATTAATTTAAATATAAATGACAATTTTCTGGAATCATTATTTACTCTTAATTAGTAACACAATAGCAAAAAAAGGGTTGAGTTCTAGGTAGGTCATTTTATATATTTATAATCATAAAATAATATAAATAATTAATTAGGTTAATCTGAAGAATGAATATCGGAAAATTATTATTCAGAACTTGGTTATGATATAAAATATACCTATTGATAATTAGAACAAATGTAGATTGAATATAAAGATTTAAATCTGTTTATTCAGTGGTTTGTATTGGATACACTACACGCTATGATGAATACAAACCACAATACTCATAAGTACTTAATATGAAGTGTATATTTAATTTATTATTAAAGTTTTTTTTAAGACATAAAACACTAGACATTACCTACAGTGGTAAAGTTGCAATAACAAAAATGTATGGAATACATTAAGACAGTTTAAAATAAAAATATTTATTTGGATACCTGTTAAAATGATTAACACTACCTCTTACTGTGAATTATAAAAAAAGATTCTCAAAATGTAATTTAATTACATAATGTCGTATCTACAGTAGTCAGTAATGTTATTTGAAAACATTAGAATCTATCAAATTTCAGACATAATAATAAATACTTAAAGCCTCAACATTCATCATCTCATGAGCATTTACAAAACAATTTAAATGACAATAAATGACAGATGGTGTGTTGGTGTAAATGTCAGTCATCCATAATTCCCGCCATTCATCGTGTCCAAAACAATGGTATGGTATCGAGCTCGATAAACCTAACACGTTGATTAAGTGAAACCGCAATCCCAAACACTTACAGCTTTCATCCGAACGTACCAATGGTGAGGGAAAGCATATTTTTTAAGCCATTTTGTACAATCATATAATTACATTATAATATTTTATAGGTGGGTATTATTATTGAATTAGGCCGGGGGGAGACCGGCGGCGTGTTATCAGTGAACCGAAAAACGCGACCACTCGCGCGCAAGTCGTATTATCTACTAGTGAAGCAGGGGCGGAGCGGTGGACGCCAGAACACCCAAAAAAGATCCCCACGTCGAAAAAATTTCCCCCGTGTTTAATAGTTAATCACTAATCAGTAGCACAAAATAAATCATCACTACTACTTTAATAAATAATAACAATGCGACAATTTAGCAGATAAGATAAAACAATAACACGCACACCATAAAGCACGTGGGCTGATCGTCGCTTACCTGGTGACGCACACCGAATGGTGTAGTCCGTATTTGTTGAGCACGCGGAACAGCTCGGGCGCGGTCCGTGCGAAGCCGACCAAGCTGAAAGTGGCCAGCATCACGTTCCACAGCACCAGCAGGCCCTTGAGGCGGAAGCCGGCCCGATCGCGCATCATCCGTCGGAGCCCGAACACCAGCATGGCGTATATGGTGCAGTAGTAGAACCCATTGGTCCAGTTCTCAGTCATCCACTGCCGCGTCCATTCGTAGTGGAAGTTCTCCTCGAAGTCGAACACGTACGAGTAGTTGGACTGTTCGGGGTACATAAGGCGGACCATGGCTACGTCGTCGTATTCCGTGTAACGGTGGTCCCGAACGAACTGCTGACGTACAATGTGTAGATAGGTTTAATGAGTTGAGTGGTATTTGTTTGCCACAAAGTTCAGCGATGGGCAAACGGTACCGGCGAAACGTTAGGGACAACGACGACGACGACGACGACAGGCAGCGCGGAACAACGGGGGTGTGAATCGGCCGCGTCGCTCTGTTGCAACCTAACCGACAACCGAGTTAAACCCGAAACGGAGTATGTTAAAAACACTATCAACAGTTGAACAGTAACAACAATATTATGTTATTGTGATTTGCACGAGAGCCGAAATGCGTTTTAACGTACTGCGTCGGCCGCGAGCGTGTGTGAGTGTATGCGAGAAGAGACTGCCGTGTGAGGCGACTGATGAACCGACGTGCTCTCGGCTGTGCCTGTAAACGGAAAGTGTACTCACTAGTCAGTAGTCACTACTCCTGCACCGACTCAGACGTGGTCGTGAAAATGCGATATAATAATAATAGTAAAACACGTATGCGGAACGCGCGTGCGTGCGTGCAGCACTCGGGCAGCGGCGGCGGCACCCGGCGGCACGTCACACCGCGAACCTCGCGACGCGCACGATCCATCCCGCCAACGTGAGCGGCCGCGCCAGTGCGTCACATGGATCGCGGCGCGGCCGCCGCGGCTGGAACGCGGTGACGTCGTAGTCGACTTTTTTGTCGGCCGCGGTGAAGGGAAGGGGCCCGGCTAGGGCCAGCCAGTGCGACAAACATGACGCACGCACAGTGCGTTTACCTGCGGGGAATATTATTTTGCTCATGTACGAGTGACACGTGTTACGCCGCCGCCGTAGAGCCGCTACACCCGGTCCGGTCACCCCTTTGGCTAAAAAAAAATTGTACAGACCGGAAGGCGGAAAGCCGAAACGGCGAAACCAGTAGGTCGGTGGTCTTGACACTATCGAGTTGTTACTCGATACATTATTTATATTCGAATCGACATACCATATTATCTTGCATTCTTGAATAAATTATACAATTTATATCCGACACAACCATATTGCTCTGTAGTGATTAGTGATTATTAAAATAATTATAATGCAACTAATATTAATTGTTACTTGTTTGCATGACAAAAAATGTATGCTATTCGGCCTATTATTATATAATATTAATATATGGATATTTTAAACGTAACAGTTGCTTTAATTTGTTATTCGATACACACAGAAAGATTCATGTTTATAACTCTTCGATTCGACAGAGTCGACCATGTTCATGTACGACTATAATATTATATATTCATGTTTTATGTTTGTGCTTGGGCGATAATAATAATTATATAATACCAAAGACTTGTCATGACTTAGATTTGTCATTTTCTGTATTAATTATAGAACTGTAAAAGTATTATAATTTAAGAATGCTCATACCTCGGCATCTCGCTTTAAAATTGAAGTATCGTAAAAATCTAACTTACGAAAATGTTCTTTACTTGAAGTTTAACAATAAGAACCATTCATTTCAATAGATACTAAAGCTAACAATACATTACACAAGGTTATTTCTGCTCAACACAAATTGCCTATGACATAGACACACATTGAGGCACGTGGTTCTGACTTTCAGGAAGAGAAAACAAGTTAACATTTTTCTAATATCAAGGTATCCGTCCATCGAGGCCTCGTAATATAATTAATAAGCAGAGTTTGTAGTTATGGCACACAAGACAAGTATTATTGGGATCAATTCGATAGTCGTTACAAATATATATTAAATAATTTAGAATTCGCATAATGCAATATTTTCTAGCATGTTATTGCAGTCAATCCTCCTTTTCCCGTAATTTAATTTAACAAGTCGATGAATGTTTTCAATTTTGTCAAACGTTTTTATAATTTATTTTTATAGGTACCTATACAAATAGTACCTACCTATATTGTATAAAAAATTACATTGTTATACTTAGGTACGTTTTCTAAGCACACGGAGTACCTACATATTAATTGCAGTACTCTTTACTTAGCACATATAGGTAATACTATTATAGTTTATAGTTAGTGAAAGTCAAGAAGAACTTGAATTGTTATTTGATTCACTTTTCCACCCCCACACCAAAACACCGAACAGCAAGTGCATCGACCTACGCACATAATGTGTATTGTGTATACATTATATGTTTGTATAAACACCGGACTCGTGAATAATACGTATCTACTTATTGTCTTATTACAACATTATGAGGAGTGCGAGTTATCTAACCATATTTTGCATAAATTATTTTCTTATACCTAGTAATGAAAAACATGACAGATACCTGGATAAAAAATTTCAAAAATTTCAAAAATAACGATCGCCCAAATACTGGTACCTAGCTATTAGCTTTTATTCAATAATACATTTAATATGAAGGTATTTGATTTTTATATTATGTACTCCGTATAGCATATATGTCCGATAGAGTCCATGAACCCTTACTTGATAGGCTGCAAGAAAACACGCCGCGGTCAATTTTTAAATGAATACCTCTAGGTACCAACTTTTTTTATAATTTTCATTTTATAATTTTTCAAGTCATTTTTATTGATTAACTTGTACTCTAAATTGTGTAAATCTTAGTTAATATAACGTATTGTTGTCATGTACCAAAAAAATAAAACAAATGTATTGTTCACGATTGTTATAATAAAAGAATTTTGAGTTCCTGCTACTTGCAAAAGGTCCATTTTTTGATTATGTAGGTACTTAATAATTAATAATACCTTTATTTGTCTCCCCTATGGACAATCTTAAGTTGTTTCCAATTCATTAATTTTGTATAAAATAAATAATAAAATAATCAATTTCGCCCATAAAATAGCCTATACTTTATAATTTACCTAATTTATAATGCGTATTTAGAAATTAGAGGTGTCGGCTGTGCCTGTTCATCATTCAAACTGATAATGATTTGACACTCAAACAATGATGATCCTGAGTGGAACCTATTACCGATTTATACAACTTATCATATTTCCTAATAAATAAAAACTTACAAAGAATTATTATTACTCACGATTTTCGTAGATGTAAAAAAAATCTTAAATGTGAATTTAGTGGATGATTTAATACCAACTTATACATAATATGTTTTATTATTCCTTGGTCAATATATCTACAGTTAGATTGTTATCATTTTTTTTCCACACAGATAGGATTTAAATAATTATTCATGTCTGTACTAGTTTTAATATTTTGTGATATTTAATAATTTTGAAAAAAATTATTTATTTAAATTTTTATAGTTTGGTGATCTAATATTTTAAAAGTAATGATAATTTACACATATAGGTACCTAGTAATGAAAAAGTCCAGAACGACCATATTTATATATTTTAAATGTAATTTTCAAAGTGAGAATATTTACCACTGACTCGTCTCGTTTTTACCAATCTATGTATATTTATAAGTAGGTTTATTCAACAGTGTTGACTAACACATAAGAAACTGTTCGAGATTTAACTACAGTATAAACACACAACAGAAACTAAAAATAAATCAATTCGGTTTTATATATAAATGGGTCAAATGTATACTATATTTTAATCATCCTCGCGTAAGATATTACAGAATACACTTCTGGTAAGATTGTAAGACGTGCGACTTGCGCGCATATAGTATATGCACTATAGATATAAATAGGTTGGGTTAGGTACCTTCCAGCTAATGCTAACGTAGTGTCTTACCAAAAGGCAAATAGCAAATAGCATGTATAATTATATCATATAATATGAATAGCTATGCATATTATAACAAAATCACATTTATCTCCTGTTAGCCATTTGTAATCTATTTATACATCAATGAAAATTTGTTATTTATTACGTAGGTAGTCAATGTCCGTTTCATTGTGTACACTGAAAAACAATAGTGTAGAGTGATAAAGTGTTATAAAAAATATATACTTAATTTTTTCTAAAACTAAAAATTAATAAATACAAAAGTGTATACCTACCTAAATATCCTAGCATCTTGTACTCATATACTTTAATTTTCCTGTGTGCAATAATAATGTAAGCATAATAAATATTACATGAATGGGCACAAATCGTATATTAATGCTAAGAGGGCTTACTCTCCTCTACCTTTAAAATAGCCCCCAAGGTTGTGCCTATTATCAAAAGGGAAAAAAAATTTTTAAGGTTTGACATTTTACTACCAATGGGTATATTAAAAATACTAGAATAAATTGTAACGAAAATAAAAATAATGGATCGATGACCAGTAAAAATTCCCCTATTATATTAACTATTTTAAGATAATATTATTTTTAATAAAAAATTAATTACATATTTCAGAGTCATGTAAAAATGTACTTATTGACTCTAAAATATTGGTAACACTATGGTACAGCACTACTCTAATGGTATGAACTATTTATGAGAGTTCTTGTTTTAAATTTTGAATTAGTAGCTATAAAAACGGCATGTCTTATAATTTTTTAACTACAATAAATCTACAAATTGTCAAGTTTATGATGATTTTCTTAAAATTTGAACTTAAAATAACTATAAAAAAAATCACACCTGCGGATCTTTACTTCAATTTTAAAAACTGTATCATGTAAAGAAAATTATAAAATAAACATTCGATAAGAATTTCAAATACCTACTTTTGTTATTTTTTGAATAGCAACAAAATAAGAAAATCGTTGTATGAGAATTTATTAATTTCCAATGTCTAACTTCATACGAGCGTAAAACGTGATGACCGACACAAAAAAATACACATATCATTGTAAAACAATAAATTCATTGATTCATCGCTTCGCTCAGAATCTAAAATAATCAGATAATGTGTAAAAAAAATTTTATTTCGACAATAATAAACTGTATAATAATTTTAACTATAATATTTAGTTGATAAATAAGTAATAACCATTCCAAAAAATAGTGAAATGAGTTACCTACAGATTTACATATACGTCGAAATATCGCACATAACGATAATAAGTACATGCCTAATACTATTATATAAGTATTTATTATATTTTATATTTAAAACTAATTTCAAGTTCATTACTTGGCTATTTTTATAAATGCTAATAAATTAAATAGTAATTAACTTACCTATACTTAATTTTAAGACAGTATATTGTGTACGTACAACGTAGCCACGTAGGTATAGTAAGTACCGTACATAATATCCATGGTGCATTGATTTGTATTGAATTCCAAGTACCTACTTATTAGTTAATTACTACTTATTATTCTCACAATTTATAGTGTGAACTACAAACAGACCTTGATATAATATTAAATAGTTTTGTACATTTATATTACTATTCCTTTTCACAAACATCATATCGTATAGATATCAAAGTGACACAGCTAATTGCTATTATTCAAATGATGAGAATGTAAAAAGTGGGTTGGTATAAATGTATAATACTTGTCGGTTATGCTCATGTCACTATTTGATAGACACTATAGACCTTAACTTTATATGTCATGAACTAAACTTATGTTTAAATGTCAGTAGAGAGCAGGCAAAGATCTAGAAAATGTTAACCCCGGGTGCTCAAAAAAAATAATTGGTTATACCTTTTTATTTTAGATTACTTAATTTATAATACAATTTTTTTTTTGGTGGCTTAGACTCTAAGCCACCAATAAAATAAATTTGATAATGACTTAGACGACCGAAAGTAGAGCACCCATAACTCCCCCGAATAGTCGGAGAATACGTAAACATTAAACATGATACAACTGTATATGTCCCATGTAGGTGATTTGTACTTGAGTCTGCAAGCTGCTATAATATAAATCAGAATAATTAAATGTATACCATGTTCATTTAAAAAATTATATTGTATATTTGTATGGCATATGAAACTAAACTCTCCCAATACAAGTTAAGCGTACAAGTCACACTGTTATAGAGTGTTGCATAGTTGCATATTATTATTGTTGATGTGTTTTATTTTTACTATGTATATCGTATGTGTTACGGACAATGTGGAATACCGGGCAATGTTAACCATACATTTTTTTTTAACCAACTAATATTATTTTTTACTATTATTATAAATTATAATCATTACTTATTTATAGTATTGATTTTTTTTTTAAACAATCATTATTAATTTTATTCATGTACCATAATATTACGAATATTTTGATGGAATAACAAAAAAAAATTAACAAGTATCATCATTTTATTTTTATAATAAATTATAATTTTATTACTACCTATTTATTTGAACAAGATTTAGAAGCATGGCACTTGGAATTACATAGTCTGTCCGCTTTTCTACACTTGATTTTTAAATAGGCAGTATGATAAGTAGCAAAAATAAGTTTATACACAGTGTTTCAAAAAATGCATAGTTTATTGTATTATAATGGTACATGAATAAAATTAATAATGATTGTTTTAAAAAAAATCAATACTATAAATAGGTAATGATTATAATTTATAATAATAATAAAAAATAATATTAGTTGATTAAAAAAAATATTATACCATACAATTTTCAAAATACCTTGACTCATGTGGAACTCTTTATAGACATATGAAATTTTCGATTATTATTAGTTTTTTTAAGCTAATGTTGATAAAATGTATAAAATGTAATACAAGATTCCTAATAAGTTGTTGTTAGTGGAAATTAAAAAAAAAGTTGAACGTACCTACTTGAAACTTTTGGAGTATATTATATAAAGATTTATATAAAGATGCTTTATACTAGGTTAAAAAAATGTATGAAGTCATTCATCATGTAAGACGTAAGTTCTATAATAGTTACATAAAATAATTGTCAACTAGTTTAAAATATAATATGTTGGTTTTTTTTACAATTTGTTATTTTGTTTTATGAGTAGGTTGATCAATGTTAACCACGTTAACCGTACAATAACTACAAAGTAAATACTAAATGGTGACAATATTATTTCCTGATGTGTGGCTATATTGGAATGTAGTGCATTGTGTGTGTGTGTATATGTATTATACCTATACTTATAGAGGCATATGCCTATTGCAAGGCCAACAATTAGTATTAATTAAGGTCCATCGAAAAATATATCAATATTTACAGAAGAATATAGCAACATAGTTGACGTACATTAATTTATAACTAGCCAGTATACATTGAACAGAATATTATTAAAATTTTTATCATAATCTTATAGCCTCATATTACTTATACCAGTTATACCTATAGGCTATAGAGATACTACTCAGTCATAATCAGTAATATCATTAATTATAAATACTTTTGGGTAGTTAAATAGGTTTACATAATCAATATTCTATGGTAATATGTATAAAATGATATTATGTTTAAGACAATAATATAAAAATAGACTATAATCAATGCAGACTTAGAAGAATTTAAAAAAATAATGGAAAATGGGAAATTAGGAAAATATAAGCCCCTGAAAAAATGTAATGTATAATAGTTCACGTACAAAGGTAGTCAACAAAATGTGAAGACCAGACCTAACTCAAGTAAGTATGTATCATTGACTAGTACTGAATTGGTTCCCGAGCTCCAACCGCACCCGCCAAATTGGTTCCTGTTCAAAAAAGGTATTTTATTAAGTTGAGCCGAATCGGTTCCCATTTAATTACGCACATTTTCCTTTTCAATTTTACAGGCTTAGCCGCTTAGGACTGTTAACTTAAAAGTAGTCTTGGTAAAAAATGTGCGTTAACGTGTGTTATAAAAAAAATTATATAATATATACAATTTTCAATCGTTGATTTGGAAGTCAACACTAAGTCACTAAGTCATCACTAAGTGTACAAAATACAAATAATAAAATATAATAAATACTATAGAGTGTAGGTACATTTATATTTTGTACTAACCTAACCTTAAATCACACTTTTAGCCAAGCCTACTTTTAAGTTGACAGTCCTAAGCCTGTACAATTGAGAAAGAAAATGTGCTCACACAAGCGGGAACAAATTCGGCTCAACCTAATAAAATACCTTTTTGTAAACGGGAACCACTTCGGCCAAACGGGAACCAATTCGGTTACTCCCGTATTATTGTTTTTCAAATTGTTTGTATCTAATTATGCGCACAAAGGTTTGAGGTTTCCAATTTAGCTATCATCCATACTTACTTAAAAGTTATTTTGATCTTATCACAAAATGCCTCCAAAAATTAATATTGTATATTATAACAGGTTATCGTATATTTGTATCATAATCATCATCATCATCATCATCATCATCATATGGCGTAGGTAACTACTTTATAATGTAGTATATACCTACTATATTGTAATTATTACATAATATAATAAGTAGAATTCCAAAGTATAGACTACTAAATACTAGTTAATAATATTATCTTAAACAGTGTAAAATGTCAACCACTAACTCCTGAGGGTTTTAAGTTGTATTTTTATTTATGAAATCAATGCACAAATGACCAATTTAAATTTAATCTATTCTGTGGCTGAAGTGCAGGGGTGCTAACCCAAATACTTGCCCTGTAAATTGTAAATTATAGTACCAATCATATTTTTAAGTTCTTAAGTCTTAAGCAAGTATAATTTAAATATATTTTAAACATATTAATAAATACATTTATACTATTATTATTTATTGTAAATTTCTTGTTTACTAGCTAGTCTACATAATAATATTCAACATTTCTGAAGAGGTTTGATAAACATTATTCAATTATTTAAAAGAACCTTTTTATTACGAATTTCTGACCTAAATATTATTATGGTTTAAGATGTAATTTTGGGTCCCCACATATTATCATAGTAAACATATTTATTTATTATCAATATAAAATAAAATAATTTTCATCACCCTAATTTGTATACGAGAAATAAATACTTGTAGATTTGTCCTACATACATATTAATATATTATATTAACATAATTACATAAACGCATATATTAAGTATTGATTGTTTAACTTTGTTAATTAAATCAAACATACACTTATCCTCAGTTAATTATGTAATTATTCAATTGACTCCGAAAGTTGATTTTTTTAGAGAATAGAAACAACAGAATTGTAATGAAATAGAATTAACAATTTTCGAATTTAAACAAAAACGATTTATTGTATTAATCTAATAATTGGTATAAAGAATCATTCTGACCCAATTACATATTTACTTTTATACACTATACATATAGGTAGGTACTGTATATAATGTACCTACTTACATAATATAGCATTATAGCTCATATATTATGAATATTAGTAGGAATAAGTATTATAATGGAAATGATTAATGTGTCTTAAAACATCTTGGTAGATTATTGAAAGAAGTTTTTTTTAAAAAGCAATCATTTTTATTTATTTATAAATTAAAAGTAACGTATAGGCTATAGCTTATAGTGTCAAAGCGTATTAAAATTAAATACGTTTAAAATCTGAATGGTTCACAAAGTTCAAAAATGGATGAAAAAAACAATCAGGTCCATTGCATAATATTTGTATAGTAATATTAATAATATTATACATAATGAGTACATTATGTTAAAAGTTTAAGGCTCTCTACCTAATACCTATATACAGTTACAAATGATTGCAAAAATTGCACAACAAATTGTTGTCTTCCTGTAGAACTGCTTTCAAAAAAATATAAATTTCATATTCGTGTAAAATTAAATAAAAATAGTTCTCAAATTTTAAAATAATAAAATATATTGTTTATACAATGTTTTGATTATAGGTATAATATGTATACATAACGCGCTGATGACTGATGAAGCGTTCACAATATTCACATATATTTCGTGATAGATTGATAAATATAAAATTATAGAATAAATGTCATTCAAATCTCACACAATTAACTAGATACGTCGTTTGTCGTGTCGTGTCGTATCGTATCGTACCGTATGGGTAGTCAGTAGATCGTGGTTAGTAAATGATACCATGATTACCACGGCCAACCAGAATACTAAGCCACACTACACGACAGACGGCATATATATAGCTGCGGTTACGGATTTACTCCGTTAAGGTAATAATAATACTGCAATAAACCCATAGACGTATATACTAAGTTTATACTATACAACTTCCATCCACTGAGATAGATAAGTATATTGTTATCTATCTCAGTGCTTCCATCTAAGAATAAAATAATATCATATTATTTGACCGTTGTTATTCGAAATATGTAAATAAAACCATATTAACAATATTATGTTAATACATAGAGACTAAAGATAATCATTATATGTTTAAAACATACCTAGACCTTATACTAGGTATAGTATAAGATCTATAGTTTAAAATTGAACTCTCAGCCTTATGTCAGTGTATTATT